TTTATGGTGCCGCTCGTGTCCAGTGGCAGCTGGAAGGACAGGGTGCTGTCCTCTGGCATGTTTGCTTAGCTTATACTTGGAGTACGCCTTGCTGGTGTCTTGTCATTAATTTTGCTTTGTTGCAAGCTGACAACAGCCATTATTTTTATCTGTGAAGAGGCTGGATGAGGACTTAATATCATGGTGAGGCTCATTATCACCTCGGCTGTCCCAGTGGAGCCTGTGCGAATGTAATGCAGGTCACAATGCCTTGTTTTCTCTTAAAGTTCTGTGACTCCATTGTTAGCTATGTGTTTTAATTTGTTTTGTTTCTTACTGGCAATTACAGCTGTAATAGTCAGCTTCTGCACGCTTTTGTTCAGGCCTTGCTGGCTAGTCAGCGTTGTTGAAAGAGATTAGCACTGTGATGGTCTATCCTGTTGTTTGAATTTGGACCTTGCACGTAGCCTGACCGGCTGTCAGGGATGCAATTAGTGAGAGCAGTGGTCCCTTGCACAGGGAGGGGGCATCACTGTCTGTGGGACTGAGAGAGCTCTTTAATGCTGTTAAACATCAGGACGTCGTCACGAGATGCTTTGGCTGTCTTAAGCATCAGTCAAAAAGCTCATCAGTGGGACTAAGCTGGTGAACCAGAGTGCTTTTTTTCATTTGTCTTTGATTTTAGAAACAAGAAAAGGAGCATTTCAGAGGGAGGATTGTGGGGGGAGCGAGGTGTGGTCACTCCACTGCTGGTGTGCGGCCATGTCCTGCTCAGTGCCAGCCCGGTGTTTCCCTCCCTGCTGGGAGACCCTGAGAGGTTTTAGAATGTTCAGAAATACAGATCCAAGAGCCCTTGTTTAAGTATAAGAAATCTGTGGCAATGAAAGGAAAGAAAGAGTCACAGGATTTCCTATGCAGTCATATGTAATTTTTAGTAATATTTCTAGAGTTTTGAAAATTTTCATGGCCCCTCCAGGGCTTTGCGTAGAAAACTGTAAGTTCTGTTAAGTTCTGTTTACCACACAAATAATCCCCTTTTTTTTTTTTAAGATTGCAAAAGCTTCTGCATTTTATTTTTTTAATTCTGACACCAATTTCCTTTTGAACGTGATACTAGACCCAAATGCCCTTATGACTTTTTCCAGACAATTCAGCATCGTTTCTAAACAATTAAGTATAAGCTTCTGAGAAGTGAAGAATGTTTGATTTATTCATGAAGCTTTGAGTCTGATGATACTCTTTGAGAAACATGTGAATTAACCTTACTCTCATCACCTCTTGACTTGTGTACTCACTGTTCCTCTTTCTGCTGTGTGCGTGGACGTGGTGCAGTGTGTTTGGTCCATCACAGTGGGACACCTTCACCAGTGCGAGCGTGGGCATTTCCAGTGACGTTGTGTTTATTTCTTCAGGACATTAGTGATGTAACAGAGAGTCTTAAAGTTAATAAGCAGCTTCCAGCCGACATAGATTTCGTTTTCGTGAAACAGGTGCCATTTTTAGCAGGGAATATGAATTTCCCTTGCAGTTTCCCTTTGCAGGTTTTTAAGCTGCAGGGAACAACTCATGTGCCACTGTACATGCTTCCTGCTGCACGTCACCTCCGTGTCCTGGTGCGCAGTGTGATGATGCCCCGTCTTCTGATAAAGGCTGCAAAATATGCTTAGGAGGTGCCTATTTCCCCCCCTTCTCATTATCCAGTGTGACAATGTTGGTCCCTAGCAATCTGCCTTGAAAACACTGCTGTCTTCATGGGAAGCATTTGATCCTTTCTCAGTTGAAATAAGTCATCTTGGGAAACACAAAACTCCACTCAGCAGTGTGTTTCCACAGGGGACCTCCTAGCCATTATCTGCAAGATCACCAGTAATAGGTGGAAACCAGAATAGCTTCTCCTTTCACCACTGCAGTATTGGTGCTCCTGATGTGGAGATGTGAGTCGCTTCCAGCGTCCCTAAAACTTCCATGCAGTCTCTTTACCTCTTTTGCCTTCTGCTGCTAAGTATTTTTAACTTGAGCTAAATCCCAAGTTCCTGTAGCTTGGCAGTCTGCTCTCAAGAGGCAGCACCTTGTCCTGGATGCCCATGAAGTGTGCTGTGTAAGCACACACGGTAGCTGTGCACAGGCTGGTGTTTCATGCAGGCTGTAGAGGCTGGAGGGGCTTCAGGGGATGGAGATGTTGGAGGGGTTGAAGTTGCTGGGGGGGTTGGAGATGCTGGGGAGGCTGGAGGGGCTGGAAGGGCTGGTGTCCAAGTGACCTCTGGCTGTCACCCAAACTTTTGTTCAGTGAGCGTGAAATGCAGCATCAAAGCCAGAAATCCTCAAAGCCAGAAGCTGTTTAAACCTGTCTTGACACCGCATACCTTCACATGGTTACTTATAACATTGCCATTGCTGACAATACTTTGTTCCCCGTATCTCCCCTGCTCTGGGAGAATGAGCTGCAGTGTTGCTCACTCACGGGAAGCAGTTGGCCTGCTATGATCATGGCAGAGCAATTGTGCACGGATTCTGAGGCCATCCCATTTTTTTAAGGCGAACTACAATATATTGTGTTATTTGAGAAATAGTGTGTGGCTGTGACAGCATAGAGGCATGCCCAGATACCAGCGCAGCCTGTGATCAGCAGTGGCATGGCATTTGGTGATCTGTGAAGTGAAGCGGAGCCTTTTGTCTGTCTGCCCTTCTGCGCTGGTCCAGCACTGGTCCAGGTCATTGCTTGTCAGACACTGTCTGAAGGTAGCAATTTGGCTTAAGGTTTCTAGCCGCTATTTTTAAGACATTTGGGCTGGTCAGTTGTGAAGCTTCCTGGTGGGGGTGAGAGGAGTCTCCTCACAGGGTGTTGGGCCAGTGCACACTGGCAGCCCCTCGTGCCGGAGCTTTGCGTTGCCGGCGAGCAGCTCTGCACACCCCTGCTTGCACTGGCTGCCCCCGGAGGAGAGGTGTCAGCTTCTCTGCTGTGGCTGGGCTGCTTCCAGCAGATGATGGGATCTGCTCGCAGGCTTTTAGATCTGGTGATCCCTGAATGGAGAAGGGAAGGTAACCCAACCTACCTAACCAAAAAAGCAGGCCAAGATGGGCTTTTAGTGCTGTCCTGTGATAACTGAGCTGACAGGGAAGAGGCAGGAGAGGAAAACTTTAGCAGAGACAGAAGGTGTCCTCAGTGAAATGTCTTTCATGGAGGGGCTTCGTGCTGGAGGCTGTGGTGGTGACAGAGGTCAGCCTGAGATAACACAGGGGCCCATCGCTGCAGCATGGGCAAGTCCAGCTGAGTGTGACTACATTAGCATGTCCCCTGGCATGTCCCCTGATGCCACAGGGGTGCAGGGTGCCCGGGCGAGGGTGAGCACTGGCACCTCTGTCGCGTGGCCATTCCGCTCTGAACTGGGCTGGTGCTTTATAACTCCTGATGCGTGGCATTTCTGATGGCGAGTGGGAAGGTGTTTTCAGCAGCTCCTGTTGTCTGTTTTTGGGACCGTGTGGCTAGTGGAGGCTGGCTCTGGCTGGAGATGCAGGCCCACCCAGTGTATGGCTGCTGCCTGCAAAGTGATGGTGAAGTGAGAGCCCTGGTCTCCGACCTCCTGCATATCAGATTGAAGCCTGATGGGAGCTAGAAGGAAGCTGGAAGGGAAGACACATGGTTTAGGATCTAGCTGAGGTGAAAGCCCAAGACACCATAGGTACAGGGTCCTCAGCCTGCTTTGAAATGGACTTGGCAAGCTCTGGACAGAGTGATTTTTGTGGAGAAGGGGGCTGGAGAAAACTCTTGCATTACATACAGAACAGCCACTGAAACTTCAGCATGGGCAGACAGCAGCAGAGCCAATGTGGGTTTGTAGGAACAGCATTGTATCAGCTAAAGGCTTTGTCTGCATTGCTCTAGCATGGTGGGTTTATACTGTGTCAGCACTTTGCAGCATGTTGCCATGTCCTTTTTGATCCTCTCTGAATAGCCCAAAGGCAGATTCACAGCGTGTAAGCACTACCTTTAGGACTGCCTGTGCAGCTGTGCTAACCCTGCCCACAGCTTTGTTTTTGGATTTCCTGTGGATGTTAACTGATCCAAAAAAAAAAAAAAACAAACCCATACAGTTACATTTGTGAGTCTTCCATCCCCAATTTCTGTTGGTTCCTTGATTAATACACAAGTACTCGTAGTGTCCAGTGAACCTGCGGGTGTGATGAGAGGGACTGCTTTTAGTGTGCCTGCCCAGCAGAAATCTTAGGTGAGCGTTATGTACTGGCAGTGAGCTCTGACTCTTGCTGATGCTTCCCCTGAAGGGCTTAACTGCATCCAGAGTTATTCTGCAGCACGTTCTGCAGTAGCTGTCACACTCTTTGCTTCCACTGTGCTTTTATCAGGCTACATTTTCTACTGCGATAACTTAATGAGCACTTGTACTTTTTTATGCCTTTGTTTAATGACTGTGTGATGAGTCCTGTCTCAGAAATTGCTGTGGTTTTTGCGCACTGAAGGCAGGTTGACTTTAGAGAGCCCCTGTTCCTTTTTGCAGGGAGCATCACTTTCAGCTGAAAAGGTCTCTGAGATAGATGGAAGGGCTGTGCACTGAAAAAATAACACCTTTTTTTGTAATCGTGTAAGAGACTAACATAGCTAAGATTTTCTGAGGAGATACGCCGATAGTGCCTTCAGTGCTCTCTGCTGCTCACGGCATTTCTTGCGTTCGGGGCATGCTCAGGGTGTTGCACGTCAGGATTTTTACCACAGTTTGTGAGGGATCTAGGAGAACTCCCTGTATGGTGCTTTCCAAATCAAGCAGGTTTTCCTCATGTGAAATGGGTAGTTTATTTTCCTCTGAGCCAACACTCCTGGTTGCTCAGAGGAGCTTTCTGGGAATACTTAGCTGCTGTTTCCATGCAACAACCAATTTTTATTCACTGACATGCATTCACTGTGGATTTTCTGATTGGAAGCGCATGTATATAACCTTTCATTTGTATATTTCTCATCAACAGCTAAATTTCATTACCTTCTAACTCTCTTTTGCTTTTTTTTACAGATAAACTGTGTGACTTTCCCCCACCCTGACGTAATGCCAGAGCAGCAGTTGCTGAAACCTTCGGAGTGGAGCTACTGTGATTATTTCTGGGTAAGTAGGCAGCCAGCCACATGCCATATTGCAGCTCCTGAGCTTCTGAAAAAGTGTAAGAACTAGCTTGATTTGTGGTACAAGGTAAAGGAGAATTTGGGCTGAAATACAGTGCGTTAGGGCAGCACCAGGGAGACAGGATGCCAGTGAAGATCAGGTGGAAACCATCTAACCGCTCTCAGATGTGGGCAATTATCAGAAGAGTGTCCAGAAGGGCAAGGTCAGCTGTCAGGAGATGGTTTTGGTCAGGAAGTGGGGGGGATGTAGGACAAACTACACATCTCAAAATACCTCAGCCAAAAGGGCTGTACAGCAGGAGGAGGGATAGCGAGGTGGCTGACAGGGAATATTTTTTCAGTGTTTCCCAGAGCATGAGAACTAGGGACGCACAAGGAAGCTGGGGGTATCACATTTAAAACAAGCAGATAGTTACAAACTTTGCGTTAAATTGTAAAACTCACTCCCATGGGATATTCTGAAGGACAGATGATAAATGACTTTTTTAAAGGATGACGTTTGTGAAGGACAGGCCCATTAGTAGCTCTTAAACTGAGTAGTTTCAATGCAGCCTTCAGCACGGGAAGTCTCCAGTGGCTGTGTTTCTGTGTGTGCCCTCTCGTGCTTAGCTCTGCTTTCAGGATCCTGAATCAGATTAAAATGATACAGTAGTCCTTCAAGCATGGAGCTGATAGAAAAAATCTTCCACCTGAAAACTGTTTTTTGGGGAGCAGGGGGAATACTACCTCAACAATGAAGATTTTTATGAATTCAACATGTGTTTTCAGTTATCAGTTATTGAAGTGTTTCCATTTAGAAAAAAAAAGTTTCACTTACAAAAAAATGTAGCTGTTGGAGGCACAGCAGCACTTCCCATCGTGCGTGCTCAGTGTTGGTATGAGGAGTAATGGCAGTAACTTGCTAAAATACACTGATATACTTGCAAATGGTCATGTTACCAAACCATCAAAGTTTCTTCAGTTTCTTCCAGTCTTCTGATCCCAATGAGCAATAAATCAGAAGTGGTGTATAGGCTTATTTTTTGCCTGTGTCTTACAGAAGTCACTGCCCTGCTTGGTTCTTTCCATTTAGGCTTGGCCACTGCTTGGCTCCTTGGGCTTGGTCACATCTCGCTCTCAGTGAAACTCCACTTAAAGCTGCTTTTCTTCTGCAAACTTTTATCCTCCCATAGCTCCGCTCCCAGGACTTCCCTCTTGTTCAGCCTTGCAATCCATGGTCTGCCCATGACTCGCCTCCTTCTTTGATCAACTCTACTCCTCCCGTTGTCTCAGGCTGGTAGTGCCCAGCTGCCCGGTGCCTGGCATGGTGTCCTACAAGTCTCCTGCTTTGATTAACGTGGCATTTTTCTCCGTGCAAAGGTGCAGCACCCAGGGTATTGAAGCAAAACCTGTAGTCCTTAGGGAAGTGTTCTCTGGGCCTGTTTGTTGCAAGAGGGTGGGAAATGAAATTCTGAAATAAGGGAAAGCAGAGAGGAGAGAGAGAAAAGAGAGGAGAGAAGACTGTGTTGGTCCTTGTAGCAACCCTCAAGTCAGTGGAGCAAGGGGTGAAAAGGGCAGTGTAGGAAACAAACAGTGAAAGATGGGATATATAGCAATAATCTATTGAACAAGTTGCTGTTTTAACCCTGCTTTATAGCAGATCCGTGCAGACTGGCTGTGTTTTTCTGAGTGCAAATGAGGGCTGAACTTTACAGTCTATTAAAGGTCATTTAGGGCTGTGTTACCCCTGGAAAGAGCAGCAATGTCCTCCCTTCTCCCCCAGCAGTTCCCTTGTGCTGGCTCCAGGATCTCTTCTCTTTGCAGGGCTGAGCCGTCAGGGCTCACACTTGCTGGAGCCAGCCCAGGGGCGTTATCAGGTATGAAAGGCCATGGGGCAGAAGGGACGGCAAGACTGCTGCTTTGGCCCCAACATAGTCTTACGCTAGCTAAAGATAACTGTAAAACTTCTTTTTTTTTAAATAAAAAAAAAAAGGAATAAGAGGAGGGGGAAAGAGAAAGTGTTGGACTATTCCTCTAAGAGGGGCTGAGGTGCTGCGACCATGAGCTGTTATCAGAGGAGGGCTCTTCAGATACCATCATTGCCTGTTGCTCAGACTGCTTGGGCAGCTGCCGCTGGGAACTGTGTGTGTGTGGTTTTGATCCCCATATCTTTTTCTTGAACTTCCTTTTTCCTTCCAGGCTGATAAGAAGGATTCGCAAGGGAACAATACAGTGTCGGGATTTGAAATTCTTCTTCAAAAGCAACTTAAAGGGAAACAAATGCAGAAAGAAATGGCAGAGTTTGTTCGAGAAAGGTAATTAGCACTTTGCTATCAAATTAACTATTTATGGCAACTTTTTTTTCCCCCTGATATTCCTTCAGTACATTAATGACATAGCATAAACTGCGTAAAAGATACGCTACCAATTCTTAAAGAACATTTAATATTTCTTCAATGTCCATCCACACTCTCCAGTCTTCCCCAGCTCTCGCTCGTCTCTCCTGCTGTGCCTGTCTCAGTCATATTGCACACAGGCTGTCCGTTTAGATAAAGGGAACCAAGAAGGTTTTAAGCTGCAGATTCAAAGAAAAAACATGGACATGGAAAAAACAGAGTAGAGATGATATTTAGAAAGGAAATATTTTGTCTGAAAAAGAGAAGCAATTTGTTGACATGGAGCACAGGCACAGTTTCCTAGGGGAAGATGTAAAAAGACATCACTTGGGACTTAAGCTGGTTATGGAGCTAAATTACACATACAGATATTTAGAGTGAACCCCAAGTCATAAAGGCAGATGTCGCTACCAGAAAATGCCAGAATGCTATTAATGGTCTGTTGCTCTGCTGACATGGGAAGTGCACTGAGCACCAAACAAGCAGTTGATAGATGCTCAGTTCAACCATGTACAGGAGGTGATGTGACATCATTACTCATAAGTAGTGTCACTATTATTTGAAATTGCTTGTCATGTGTTCAAGCCAGTGTAAATCATCTTGAGAATGACTCTCAAAACTTGAGAACAGCCCATAAGGAACAAGCAGCGTTTACTCCCAGGAAGAAGGCAGAGCACACTGATGGATCTTCTCTCCTGGAGGCAATTACGCCAGTTGAAGGAGCTGCTGTCCTTTGTTATTGCCTCTATGTTGGTGCTTGCTGCTGAGTTGGTATTGCCTTCCTGCTCCGCTGCTGCGGACACAGTGTAGCTGTGTTGATGTAAATCAATAGTGGTGGAAGCAATGAACAGGGCAACAAACAGGCACCTGTGTTTTTGTTTGGGGGACAGTTTGATTGGGCAGAATTTGCAAATAGTTGCTTTCATTTGTTGTTTGTTTTCTTTCTCCCTCTCATCTTTTTTTTAGTATTAGGGATATGGCAGCAGTGGAGAAATGCAAAGTCTAGCACAGGCAATACAGGCGGTCTGATACAGGAGGTGCAGAGTGCCCAGCATCCATGTATGGTTCCTAGTGCCTTTGACGTAGCTTTCACAAACAGTGAAAGATGGGATGTATAGCAATAATCTATTGAACAAGTTGCTGTTTTAACCCTGCTTTACAGCAGATCTGTGCAGACTGGCTGTATTCTTCTGAGTGCAAATCAGGGCTGAACTGAGACAGTTGCCTCTGTGATCCATGAAAAAGTGTGACCAGAGGATGCAGGTAGAAGAAAGGACCAGTTGGCAAAGGAAGAGTACAATTGAGAAATAGTCTTGCTAAGCTAGAAGATGAGGAGAAGGCAAGCAGAACTGTGATAGCCATGGCCAGGGAAAAGAGGAGGAAAGCTGCTCCAAAGAAAGTAATATATAATGAAATTTGACAGAAACAAAAGAAAGCAGCATTCAAGAGGGAGGGAAAGTTGGCGTGAAATGAGAGAGAGCAAGGAGGGAGCTCTGGCACTGGGAAGAGGCATGTTTGTGTCCTCAGTAGAGGAAGAAGTAGGCATGTTATAGAAGAAAAGACAGAAAAGATTCACTGTGTGCTGGAGACAAGGAAGGTTTGGAATTGAGTGTGAAGAGGATCTGGATGGGAGTTATAAAAAGATGAATATATTTTTCTTCTGTTTGGAACAAATGATTCAGGATTGCTCTGTGTGGAAAAGGAGGAGGACGGTGTTGAGCTGGAGAGGTTACTCATGGAAATGAGAGCTCAGGCCATCAGGGGAACCTTTACATTCCCAGCTAAGAGGGAAGAAGTACTGATAAGATTTTCTTGATGGCCATCAGGTGGCTCGGGGAATACAAGACCACGTTTAACTAGGGGTTTTCATGTCCAGAAAAATTCTCTCCATCTGTACAACCAGCCTTCTGCAGGCGAGGTTCAGGCAGCTAATAAAAATAGCTTTAAATAGGAAGCTGGGATGAGACACAGTAACCAGATTTCTTCATCAAATAACCAAGAACTAACTGAAATTTAGTTTATCAAGTAGGTGCTTTTAGAGGAGCTACTTGTAAATAGCAATCTTAGAGTGAGCAATTATGTGTTCATTCAGTTCTTGTTGACAAAGGTAGGGTTATAATGCAGACTTTGAATTTTAATAAGACAGACCTCAAGAAAGAGAGGAAATTAATTAGTAAATTGACTGAACTGAAAGATCAAGGGTGTGGGTGTGAAAGAAGGAAAGAATTACTTTAAGTCAAAAGTGAAAATATGGTCCAGCATTTGCATTCAAGTAAGCACTCCAAAACAGCCAAGAAAATCTGCAGGCTGCCCTGAATAGCATCAGTCTCTCCAAGTATAAGAAGTAGTGTTTTTATTAGCAAAAGAACACTGTCTTAGGCTTTTGGCCACTCACTTTTTAATTGAGCTGGGCTATGTTTAGAAAATTTAAAATAAATAGCAGATTATTTAACTACAAGAAAAGAAACACAAGCAGGAGAATGGCTGTAGTGAGTCTGATGAAGGTCTCTCTAGCCCACTGACTTTGATCTGACCATGGCTGTACTGAGCACAAAAGTGGAAAAGAGCATGAGAGTCTGTCCTCCCAGAGGACAATAACCAGAAGTCTGGGGATTTCCAGAGCCAGAGTTTGCCTTAGGTCTGCCATGTTCAGCAGATACTTGTAAACATCTTCCACTGTTTGTCTAATCCTTTTGAGTTTTTATATTTTCAACCACTGCAACAATTTGTAGCAGAGTTCTGCAATTTATGCACTACAGGAAAAGTAATTATGCTTCTGTTGGCTGATAATTTCATTGTTGCCTCCTAATGTGGAGAAATAGTGTAAAAAGACTTATAGTCACTGTCTTCACGCAGTGACAGTTGTGTAGACGGCTGTCAGATATCCTCTATCACCTTTTCTCCGTGTTCCCCCTGTTGTCTTAATCTATTTAGTTTCTTCTTGCATGGTAGTCACATCAGATCATCTTTGCCTCCCTTTGTAGCTCTCTAGTTTTTCTTCATCCATTATAACATGGCGTTGCTGAAAGTGTTTGAGTGTGGGCACACAAAGTACTTTAAAAAAAAAAAAAGCGTAAGAGAGCAGGGAATAAACATCCAAAGAGCAACTAGAACTAATAAAGTCAAGACAGTATGGGTCAAGATGCAGTTATAACCTGTAATGCTTCCGACTACACAGGGAGTGAAATTCTGAAAGTTTTCGAACAAGTTAGTGGAAACAAGAAACTTAGGGGTTTTTTGGTGTGAAGCTGGAGTAACTGCGAAATAGCAGTGGGGATTTCTGGAGGTAGGCTCACAAGGCTCAGGAGTCCCTCTGTACCAGTGTGTTGGTGTTTCACAGTCACCACAATCCAGGGTTTTTAGGGTGTTTATATCGGCCAGGGCCAGGAGGCATATTTTTTTCCCTTTTTGAGGTATATCTTCATCTTGGTTTTTAGCCTCTTTTGAGGTGTCTAAGGTGTTTTGGCCACAGGTGATGACAGGACGCCAGGCTGGGGTGGAACAATTTATGTCTTATAATTTGGGCTCTTAATAACCAATTCACCTTTTTATTGTTATTCTTTATTGTTATTCCTCCTTGCCAAGGCAGTCTGCCCTATTAGTAGTGCCATACACCTGCAGCACAAGTAACAGTTGAAATCCCAGAGCCTGGGCCAAGGCTGGGACCGGTGAGGACCGCTTCCATCGAAGCCAGTGACTTTGCATTTAGGGTGCCATGCTTAGGACAGGCACTGATGGCCGCAGACATAGTGTGTCTTATGTGTGATTGTGAAAATCATGAGGCTTCCTTTTGTCTTGTTATGTTCGATACTTCCCCAGCTACAGCAGTATCAAGGAAGAACTTCACAGGGTTTTCAGTTCATTATTATCACAGCAAACCTTTATGATGGAAAACAGTTATTCCTCTGTTCATGAGACGAAGGACCAAAACACAGATTCTGTGTGAGTCTGTTTGTATGGGCAGCTCAGAACAGTCACCAGACCAGCTAGCACCTTTGCACACCTACCATCCACAAGTAAATCACTCAAAAGCATTTTTAAGCCAAAATCCAGCAGGAATAAAGTTGCGTGGTGAAGGATGTAGACTAGAGTTTTGGCTGGGAACTCCTGGTAACTGAGGCAAAAGCAGTGAGCCCTGGCTTTGGGCTGGACACTTAGGTATTTATCTTAGAGCTACATTTAAACATTTGCATCTTCATTACCGTTGTCCTATGCTCCCTTTCCAGTCCATAGAAATTGACACTTCTGAGACAAGATTAGTCTCATCCTGAAGTAGGTATTTCAAGTGGGTCAGGTGAAATGTGCCTGGATAAAGCCCTTTTCATAGTGAGGTCCTAACCACAGTGTAGCCTTTGGTGCTGGACAACTGTATTTGTTGGTCTTGCTACAGCAGGCGTGGGGAGCTGGCTGGTTTTGTTCTCATGGGAGGGGGAGCAAGAGGACCCTCACATGCTGGGTGAGGTCTGTAGTTGTACTGTGCCATACCAAGCTGGGTATCGCCTTGGGCCTCAGCCAGCTGCATCCCACAGGGTGATATCCAGATTATATTTTCAGCAGCCCAGAATATCAGACCCCTCTTAGCTGGCTCAAGGGACCCCTTTTGTCTCGAATGTGCCACGTGTAAGAGTGCTTGCTCAACTAGCTGCTGCAAATGGGCATGCCAAAAATATCCCACCTTCTGCCTTCTCACTGGAAGGAGATGGATTTCAAATCAGTTTTTTCCCCTGCTTGTATGTAGTTAGCACAGAATCAGTAGTTGCTCCACCTGCGTGCCACTCAGCTCTCTCTTGGAGAGGCTCTGTTGAGTAAGCTGGTTTGAAAACCAGCAAATAGCCAGTTGTTTGCCCTAGTTGGGATCATGTATACCTTGCAAATGTTTCACTAGAAGAACTCAGGGGAGCTGCAGGTGGGTTTCGGGCATGATGCATGTCACCTCTGAACCAGCAGCTGCTAATTCCCTTCCCTGCTGTGCAATCAGCATTTACACTTGTCCCCTCGCTCAACAGCTACACTTGTTCTTCTCCCTGCAGCCATTCCCACAGTGGTTGTGTGCCCACAGCTTCCCTTTTCTGCACCCCCACCACTGGTAGGCTCAGATCCTGTTCCTGTTGCGATGCTGCTGAGTGAATGGAGAGAAGGACAAGGGCAGTGGGTGGGATGGGTGAAGGGCAGGGGCTGCACCACCACATGTTGGTGACAGAAGCCCCTGCCACATCTTCACCCGCTTTGTTGTCTGTAACAGGGATCAGGAAGCATTCGGTGTCCCTAGGAAAGGTGCAGTCCAGCACCCCAAACCTCATTTGGATTTCTCCTGTATCGCTGCATTCCTTCATCTTCGCTTCAAGGATGTGCAACATCACGTTTAGCAGCAGACTGAAACACATGCTTCTCAAGTGAATCCAGTTTTGCAGACAGTCCATGTTGCACAGTAGAAACACTTTGTCCTTGTTATTTGCTCTCCAGAACTGTAGCTTTTTCTTCTAATTTTATCGCACATGCTGTCCTGCATATATCCCTGCTCTTGCCATTGCATTTTTAGCATGTGGAGGGGAGAGATGGATTCTGAAACTGGTGCTGCCAAGCGCTGGAGACTGAAAGGAAAATTCCTGTGGCAAGATCTGTTAAAATGCAGAGAATTTCTTTAAATTATGTGTGTGGGTTTCTGCCTTAAAGCTTACTTACTGCTGTCTTTTTATTTTCTCTCTCTGTGTGTGTGTAGGATAAAGATTGAGGAGGAATATGCTAAGAACCTGTCCAAACTGTCTCAGAATTCCTTGGCTGCTCAGGAAGAAGGGTAAGTGCGTCTCTGTGACTTTTGCAGAAGACAACAATTTTAACATAAAAGGCATTCCTCCCACACTGGTACATGTATTTTTCCTGAGCTCTCCTATTGAGTAGAGGTTTATTTAGTTTCGCATCCTGGGTGTGTTGAGGAAGGTAGAATTGCTTTGGAATATTTTTCTTTTGAAGATGTTCATGGTAAATTTTTAGGAATATCTGTATAAAACCTTGCATTTCCAATAATGTGGGAATGCTATCCTTGTTCTAGCCAGCACTAGTTCCTTTAGGGATTAGCATGTATAAGTACTAAATTACTTTGAATATGGAAGAATATATGGAATATATATACTGCTGATAGTAGATCCATAAGGTCAGGCCAGTAGAATTGGAGCAGCACAGACAGAGGGAGGAAGAAGTCTCTTCTCATCTTGGGTCTGGCCCTCCAAGAAAAGCAGCAGGTTGTCCCATATTTACAGCGTGTTCACACTTTGGAAATTATTAAGAAGGTATTAGGCAATGCACTTCAGACTAGATTGTAATTCTTCGGTAATAATGAAAAGACACAACTCCTGAAGGATTAGAAGTTGTTAGCTCTCTCTGTTCCAACACAACTCCCCTAAGCACTGAAAGTCAAGGTTGGAAATGACTGTCTTCACCCTAGTTCTGACACAGTGTGTTTCTACTGGCAGTGAAGCTCCACGAGATGTTTGCTCAGCTTCCAGTAGGCAAGGATAGAAACTGCAAGAGGCTAACTGGGCTGCTACTTCTCTAAGCACCTACATTGATGATAGTTTCTGTTCTTTCCCCTTTAGGGGTGGGTGTTAACTTCCTAAACTGCTTTCTTCCACATCCTCCTCCCACTTTCTCCTACCCCCAATAGGAGAAGGGGGGAATGCCTGAAAAAATGAAGGGGAAGGAAGCTAGGGGAGAGTAGATGAAAAGAAAGGGAATGAGGACCGAATCATAAAAAATCTTGAAGTAGGGAACTGAAGGGGACACGGAGCAGAGTGCAGGGAGCTAGGAACACTGCCTGGTGGTGTTCTGCCTGGAGAGGTGGCAAGATGAGGGAATGGAAGGTGCTGTGGTGGCCAAATTGGCTAGGACCAGGAAGAGGCTAGTGAGAAGATCCTGGTTATTGGTGAGGCCCAGGAAAGGCAAAAATTCCATTTAAAAAAGTGAGGGAAGAAGAGCAGCCAACAGGAGGATTTGAAGGAGTCAAAAGTGGAACTGCAGCCTAGCACACTCAAAGTAAACATTCACCAGGGTCTTCCTCTGATTTCTGAGAAGGCGTGAGTCGGGGGACCCCGTGAACTGCTCTGTGAACACATCAGTTACCACTGCTGGTTTCATACTCCACAGAACATTTTCCAACTTTGCTGTCCAGCAGTCAATGGAATTGACACAAAGTGTGGGCTGTCCTTCCAGGGTCCTCTGCCCTCTGGTGGTAAGAAGGCCCACCATCATGTATATAAGTGCGACATGAGGGTGATGAGATGGGACCGATTTGTGGTATCGGGATGGTTCTGTCCAAGTTTCTGTGAGTACAGTGCTGCTGCACGTACACAGGAGTTGATACAATCCATGGTCATTTAAGCCATTGTGGTTGGATAAGAGATGCAGAAGATGCTTAGCAGACTGAAATGCCTTCTTTACTTAAATAGATCAGATAAAATAGTACCAGTGAGAACTGGA